TGGATAGGGAGGGAAGTATATATCATCTATACAGGAGGGAAGTATAGAAACCTTTCAGAAATTGAAATTTAGAATACCTTTTAACCTTGTGCTTAATGCATTTAAGTTTTAAACACGTACAAAGCACGTGCATCCTATCGGTACTTATAAAAGGGAAAGGTTTCAATACTTCCCCTACAGCATAGAAGATCTATGCTTTCCCTACCATCCAGCCGTCCAATTGTGATCAAGAGAGCGACTAACTGTTTAATTTTAGATCCGACGTCTCAAAGTATTTTATTTTTAGTTTTTTTATACAAATTGTATGAATATGAAATTTGGTACGTGTCATCTTCTCATTGGGGCGTACCTATAAAAAAATATTAAAAATAATTTTTTATAAAATATAATGACCAAAATACCCTTTAAAATTTTCAGCGGTATTTTGATCATTTTATTTTATTGAAAATATTTTTATATATTTTTTTGCTAGTGCGAGTTTAATAGAGGATTGGACGTACAAATTTTGGTGTCAAAATAGTTTATAGAAAAATAATTAAAAATAAAATAATGTAGAGACGTGACATTGTGATTGGAGCAATTTTAACCCTCTCAAAATGGACGGTTGGATAAGGGGAAGCATATATGTTGTAGGGGGAGGCGTAGAAAATGGACGGTTGGATAAGGGGAAGCATATATGTTGTAAGGGGAGGCGTAGAAAGCTTGCCCGTTATAAAATCTAAACCTAAATTTTCTTCTTTGGGCAGTCCTCAACAGTCAGCCGGGGCATTCAACAAATTTGCAAGAAACCATTTATTGCATGTTGAGTTTATTCAAATAAACGAAAGTTAGTTGCCCACGAACCAAGCAATACACAGGAACAAAGCACGAAACACACGAGTGAGGACAGGCTCCAGGCTTTAGCCAACCCCTCTCAACCAGGCTCTCCCCTCTCTTATTCCTCAAACACTTTCTACTCCTACTTCTTGCATACAATCCCTCGCCCTCTGAGCCCGCTGCTGCAATGCATGCCCTCGAGCTCCTCCACCACTGTCAGAACGTCGGCGCCAACGGCAGATGCCCCTCTGTCGAATCGTGAGACGACGCAATCGGCAGCGAACAAATTTGTGGTTGCAAACTCTCGGTCCCCGCCCATGATAGGCATGGCCGCTCCCATCTTCACTCTGCTCTTGTATCCATCCCTGTACGTCTGCCCCAGCACGCCACTCACGTTGCCACTCAAAGAGTAGAACTTGAACCCCATGTCCAAATGAGCAAAGCAATCATCGTCAGTGATATCGTATCCATGAATTCTCGACTCCTTGGGTGTAATCGGCACAACTCAGGCGATTATATTGAAGTTTTCAGCAGCTTCGAGTGTCACTCCATTGGTGTCACGGGTTCGGGCCACGGTTAGGCCTTGGCCATGCCACTCTGAGCCCTCCCCGACTGGAAGGCGGATTGGCATGCCATTGAAGATGATGGAGAGGTGGTCGGTGGTGTCATCCCATATGCCGACTTTTCGGGCCCCAACGTAGAGGTTGTTAGTCCCGAAGAGGATGGCAATGGACTGGACCCATGTGAAGTCTCTTTTCATGGTTTCCTTTCTCTTTCCAATGAAGTGGCCATTGATGTGGAGGTTGGAGTCGGAGAGGAGGCAGAAGTCCCGGTCTTTCTTGCCATGGAAATATAAGGTCACGCCATCACCTCCGACGAACCTCGGATCCTGGCAAATGGCGCCGGGCCTGTTACAATCTGCATTGTGCACCAAACGCAAACCGACCGCTAAGTTTTCAGTTACAGGCCATCACTTTCAATGTAAAGGGAGCATTACCAGAGGAGTCTGGTTTTATAATCGTGTATTGGGCTATAGCATACTCAACCAGTAAGATTTTTCTTTTTATCTTCCCCCATAGAATTTTCAGTTTCATCATCAAAATATCTTAAAGAATAGCCATTTAAAAGAATCAAACGTTCAGCCTACTTATAGCTTAAACCTTGGCTGGCTCAACACCCGGATTCGCACCCTCTGAATCCGATTTGAATCAGCAATTCCCATTCCCAATCACCGGGTATCAAAACCTCGGTTGAGTTAAACGAGCCGTCAGCCCAAGCATTTCTAGGGATGAGAATTTGTCCGGTTTGGATCCAAAACCCAAATTTTGGACGATCGGGATTCGGGTATGAGTCCAATATTTGGATCCGATGGGTCGGATCCTGATCCAAAATTTGGATCGAAATAGTAATTCAGATCGAATCCAAATACCGGTGGATTTGATCTAGATCTGACCCAATTATTCAAATATTAATTATTATTTTATATATACATACGTATTATTGTATCTTTTAGTTATAAAATAATAATATATAATATATATTGTCATTGGTTTTTTTATAATATTTTATAGATATAAAATAACTTTTTTTTTTTTGAGGAACAATAATAGTTTTAATACCAAGATACAAACAAAGCACAGTTAAAAGAAACTGGCCAATATACAGGGCAACAAAAAAGGAAAACAAAAAAAATAAGCTACTACAACAAGACTAGAGAACTATTAAAGACACCTCATAAATCCCTGCTTTTGCAAGACTGTAAACCTTCATATCATTCTCCATGTATACATATTCAACCAAAAACTCCATATCTTTACAAGAATCAATCAATTCAAATATTAGACTATGCAACCTCCAAGGGTATTCAGCTTCACCCTTCATCCATTTAACCACATTCAAATAGTCATCCTCAATAACAGTAGGCATTCGATACTCACTAGCTAATTTTACACCTTGCAAAGCAACCCCACACTCCGCTTCATTTGCAGTAGCATTCCCAATAGGTCCATAAAAATTTTTCAAAATCTCACCACCACTACCCCTAATAATCCCACCAATGCCTGCAGGCCCCAGATTGTCCATAGAACTGCTATCAAAATTAAGTTTAAGTGCATGATCTTGAATCAGAATATTCAGATTGTACAAGAGATAAAAACGAGAAACACCCCACCAAAGCTTATTAACTCCAAGCCAATCAACTACTACATTTTTTATTTTTTCAACTACTTGTCCAGCAGTCTTTCTTTATCTTCAAAAGACTGTTGGTTTCTCTCCTTCCAAATCTCTTAACATACAGCACCTTTAACAACCTTCCACATAAGACGACCCTTTTTACTCAATTCAGTCATCATCCAATCCCCAAATATATCATCTACCTGTACTATCCCCACACTATCCAATCCCCAAATATATCATCTACCAGTACTATCCCCACACCATTCAACTCTAGACCCAAAAGGATCAAGGCCGAAACCTCATTTACAAAGCTACAATTTAAGAATAGGTGTTCAATATTTTCTTCATTCTGTTTACAAATTATACATATATTGACAATAGTTTTCCTTTCTTTCATAACATTTCTTTCTCCATTCTACAAGCTCCTTTTTCACTCCTTGTACCTTTTTGGTAGCCACATACCCAGACCAACCCTGAAAACTATTATTATTCCAAGCCTCTGTAATCAAATATGTCAAACCACTTTGCAAATTCTAGGCCATTTCAAATTTAAAATACCCTCTGCCGCTACACATATTCATACTTTCCCAAATCAAAGGAATTCGATCCGACAACAATTTAGGTGAAGCTCGAGCTGAACCAAGGGGAAAGCATTCAACCTACTCCATATTAACTAGAAAACGGTTTAACCTTGTCATAATTGGCTTTACAACATAATTATTTGACCAGGTGAATTTAACACCCATTACTGGAATATCCAACAGTACATAGCAAGAAATAAAATTAAAAAAGGACCTCATACTAGCATCCATATGATGACCCACACCAGACTCAGTAGGCCACCTAATAGCATTAAAATCCCTCCAATCCACCAAGGTAAACTAAAATAACTACCCACCCTATAGAGTTCATCCCACAATTCAAATATCAGGCTATCATCATTAGGACCATAAACACTTGAAAGAAGAAATAAAAAAACAACGGAAATATCAACAAAAATACAAGAGATAAACCATTTTTCCACCGCATACCATTCACACACATAAGTCAAAGGATCCCATACAGTCCATAAACCCCCCACCAAAACAACAGATTCTTTAATACAAAAACAAAAAGATATATTATCCCAGATACTTCTAATATAAAAAAAAAACTAGTACTAGAGACCTGAGTTTCTTGAATCAAAACAAAATCAAGTATTTCTCTTTTGACCAAAGACAAAAGCTCTGATTTTCGTCTCAAGCTACCTAAACCTCTAGCATTCCAAGTAAGTAACTTAAACATTTAAGAAAAAAGAATTGGTCCATGCCTAGTAGTATTTCTAATAGCAAGCACATACTTAGCTCTAGCCTCAGACAACATGATCATACACTCTTTCATCGCACTTATAGATGATAAACCAAGACTCTTCTCAGCAGCCTTCTTTTTTTTTGCATTTGGTTTCATCATAAATAATATATAAACTACTTTTTTGAGATCCGATCGGATCCAGATCCTCAGTACACTATTTGGCTCCGGATTCAAAGCCTGGTGGATCTAGACCCGATCCGACCCATTCTCAGCACTAAGCATTTCCTCCCTCCATTTTCTTAGTGCTCGTAACATTTCCATTGGAGGTCAATATAAGACACACGATAGGCTTCTCTGTGCAATTTAAAGAAGATTTTTAGGATATGCTAATTAGGACCTTATGAGTTTGAGAACCAGCAGTTATAGCTTCTGAAATGTAAGAAAGGCCAACACCATGATGTTGGTTTTGGGGTTGAAATGCAGCTTAAATTGAATCCCAAACTTCCTAGTATAAAAGAGAATAAAAGAAAGATGTTAACCAGAAAAGAGAAAAATAAAAGAAAGAACCATAAGTATGCAAATTCAGTTCATCTTTCTTCAAGAGAGAGTGGGGGTGTGTGTTTTGTCATGTTGGATGACTTAAACGCAATCGACCTCGCAATAATGTGGGCATGCATCGGGGCAGGTGTGCTCCGATTGGTAGCATGCGGGGAACGCCTTTACTTTGCACTTTGCCTTGCCTGCTTCGGGCGCTCCGCTACCTGGTTGAGGTCCACAGTTGCCCGGTTTTGGCCGTCCGTTGCCTGGCTCGGGCCCCCCATTACCTGGTTTCGGCCCCAGTTGCTAGGTTGGGGTGCCCCGATGCCTGGCACAAGCCCCCCATTGTCTGGATTAGGTCCTGGGTTACCAGGTTGAGGCCCTCCATTTCCAGGGTTGGCTCCTCCACTGCTTGGCTGGGGCCCAGTGATGCTTGGGGGGGACCCTCCATTGCCAGGGTTGGCTCCTCCACTGCCTGGCTGGGGTCCGATGTTGCTTGGGGGGGATCCCCCATTGCCTAGTTGGGACCCCCCGTTGTTTGGTTGGGGTGGCTCACCAACTGGCTTGGGCCCCCCGTTGCTAGGTTGGGGTGCCCCGCTGCCTGGAACAGCCCCCCCCATTGTCTGGATTTGGTCCCTGGTTGCCAGGTTGAGGCCCTCCATTGCCAGGATTGGATCCTCCAATGCTGGGTTGGGGGCCCACGGTGCCTAAGTTGGGCCTTCCGTTGCCTGGTGGGGACTCCCCAATGCTTGGTTTAGGTGCCCCCTCTCCTGGTTTGGGCACCCCATTCCCTTGTTGGGATCCCCAGTTGCCTGGTCCACCGCCTTGTTGGGATCCCCCGTTGCCATGTCCCCCTTCATTGCCTAGTCCCCCGTCCCCTCGTTGCCTGGCCCCCTCTCACCGTCATTAGAGCCATCATTGCCTGACTTGGGGCCCCCTTTGTTTGGTCCGGGCATGCCCTCACCTTGATTGGGCCCCCCATTCTCCGATTCCGACCCGGTCAGGGCCCCCCTTCTCAGAGTTGGGTCGCCCGTTATCCGATTGAGGACCCCCCTGGTGGGGATCGTCGGCACGGGCAAGCAACGCAAGCACTGGCATGCATGCAAGCACTCAACACAATGAACGTCCTAATCCTCATCCGTGCACAACTAATTAGTAAACTGTATGAAGATAATCGTTGCTACTGAAATTTTGGTAGTGGAGTTGGATGAATGGGTTGTAGAAGGCTCATAAAGCATGCCCTTTTGTAGCCTCAATTCAAAGTGTTTGATTGTACATTAAGAAAATTGAAGGGAAGTATAGGCTTTTTGCATGAGAGATTCACATGGGCATGGCATATGTTTTCAGTTAAATAATGCAAAAATAAGGACCTGTTGACTTCAAAGATAGTCATTAAATCAAAATTTTCTTTAGGGACTGAAAAAAGAAGCTCTTCCCTTTGTCCTCTATATTTACTTGTTTTCAATAAGAGAAATCGAAAAAGATCCCTTTAATATTTAATTTGTAAAGAGGAGTACGGTGAAAGATAATGGAGCAGATCACACGACTAATGTGGTATGCATAAAGTGACTTACTTTTCCATTTAAGAAAGGGAAAAGTTTATGTAGAACCGAGGCTCTAAACAATCAAATTTGAGCCTACATCAAAAATTTCACTAGAAGAGGTTATTTTGATGTTCAAATATATCCAAATTTATCATCTCCACATTAAGATGCATGGACATAAGAAAAAAATGGATTACAAGTTTTGGAAATAGTGTATTTTGTAACATATTTTGGACCGTCAATCTTCAAGATTTTCAAGTTTTCATAGATATGATTTACACTAAGTTTGAAGCTTTAAACTTTATAATTAAATATGAACAAATATTTTTTATATTAAAACAACATTTCTCGATACTATTCCATGCTAGGCTCTAATTTGATTGTTTAGAGCCTAGTCTCTATACAAACCGCACCCTTTAAGAAATGGTTATGATTGTGTGGTCACTCTAGTGCAGAGAACTTACAAACTTTTCATCCCATCTTTAGTTCACCTTTGAATAATCTTGAGTCAATAAAGAAAAGGAAAAGAAAAATCTTACCAACCTTAGAAAACCCTCAATTAGATTGTCAAAACTAATTCTTCAGGTAGTGATATGGTGGGTTTTCCTAACTCAAGATCCTCCGTTCAATTACCTCACACTCCAAGATAGGCTTGTTGTCGTGTATCAATATATGCTATATGGTATATAACTCACAAAGAAGTTAAAACTCATGACCTATAAAACATATATGTAGAAAAATGATATTATTTGATTTAAAATAGTTCTTATACGGTCGTGTCTTGCCATACTAGCATTTTTGCATCAACATATTAGATACTTTAGAAACATAATTAGACACAAAACTCAATCAATATGCACGTAACACTGGCTAAAGTTACCTTGACACGAGAATGGGGTTGGTAGCATCACTTGTGCCCCAGCTAAAGTCTAGGCTTTCATTCTCACCTAACGTATTCAAAAACCACTAGTGATTTAAAAAATCAGGTAGAGGTTCATCATCCGCACTGAATTACCCAAAAAAAAAAAAAAAAAAAATACTTTAAAAAAAAAAAAAAAATCACCTTGACATAGACAAGATGGATGCCTTCACCCCAAATCTCAACACCTCTCTATTCATAAAGTCGTTCGGTCCCTCGAGTGGATAGTTCCAACACTCTTCAAGGTTTGAAGCATTTTTTGACGTCCTAATCCTTTGTTAGGTCCTTTTTACATCAGGGAAATGTAAAGATAATCAAAATTGATTGTTTCACATCAAAATAAGTCCCCTATATTAGGCGAGGGACCATATGTCAATGGTGGTCTCGCCACACCACCAAATCTTTTTCTCTTTTCAATTTCCATTTATACACACAACGGATCTGAAGCTTAGGTCACGGTGAGTTAGGGTGGCCGTAGTAGAGTCTCATTAGCTTTACGTGCACCGAGTGGATCCTCGGAGCCAAAAGCTGAAATGCTTTCTTATATTTTAAATCATGTATTAATTAAAGGAAAAAGTTTATATAGAGCCGAGGCTCTAAACAATCAAATTAGAGCCCACCTCAAAAATGGTTTTAATGCTCACATCCATCAAATTGATCATCTCGACATCAAAATGTATGAACTTCATAAAAAAATTGGATTTCAAGTTTTGGAAATAGCGTATCTTATAATGCATATTTTGACCATCATTTTTCAAGATTTTCAAGTTTTCATAGATCTACTCGATCTACATTAATTTTTAAACTTTAAATCTTATAATTAAAGATAAAGACATTTTTTAAGACTATCACAAAGATTTCCAATATTGAAACCACATTTCTCGACATTGTTTAAAGATGCGCTTTACTTTGATTATTTAGAGCATCAACTCCATAAAAACCGCACCCTTAATTAAATAAATAAAACTTCCTCTAATAAGGTCAACCTCACTATCCCTTTTTAACATCTTCAAGTCTCCTATGCATATTTAAATGGTAATATGTTCCCAGGAGTGAGCCTTTACGTGCCATTAAGACATGCTACACTAATCCGAGTCCTGCTCTCACTATTAAAATGCACTTGTGCCATTTTTTATCCTTCTAGGACACCTGATTGTAAGTTTTCCCAGGGAAATGTTGACCTACAAATAAGGTACAATGGAAGGAAATTTCATGGAATACCCGCTTATATGATAAGTGGGAAGGCTGCCTTAGAAAGCTTACCAATTATAGGGTTCTTGACAACAAAATGTAAACAATGTAGCTTGAGGATCCGGCTACAATCGCCAAAGGGCTGGGCCTGGGCCAAGACCATGATAGGGCCAGCTAGTTCGGTCCAACCTAGCCTTTTTTTCTTTTCTTTTTTTTCCTTTGATTATATTCGGCTCGGCTCAGCTCAGTCCAGCTCGAATAGGGTTTGGTACTCTTTGGCCCATCCAAATCAGGTCGGGCTTGGGCCTGCCCTATGGGAACTAGACCTAGGCTAGGGCAAGGATGTCCAACCATGGACTAGCCCGGTTTGTTGCCTGCCTAAACTTACATATACAAGTGCCTTTATTTTCCAACAGACGAGTTCTAAAAAGGTCAAAAGTTATGTCTTCCATTTAAACAATGGTACTCGAGAGTTTTTTTTTTTGGTACGATTACATCAGCTTTTAAAGAGGGAAAAAATTTATATAGATCCGAAGCTCTAAACAATCAAATTAGAGCTCACCTCAAAAAAATCATTAGAAAGGGTTGTTTTGATGCTCAAATTGACCATCTCAACATCAAGATGTATGAATATGAGAAAAAAATGGATTTCAAGTTTTGGAAATAGTGCATCTTTTAACGTATTTTTTGACCGTCAATTTTCAAGATTTTCAAGTTTTCATAGATTTGCTCGATCTACACGAAGCTTTAAATTTTATAATTAAAGACAAAAATATATTTTCTATCACAAAGATTTTAAGTATTGAAACCACATTTCTCGACACTATTTGAAGATGGGCTTTACTTTGATTGTTTAGAGCCTCGGCTCTATACAAACTGTGCCCCTTCAAAGAGTGTTTCAAAATAACTATGGAATTTAATTTTTTTGGGGGGGATTTTTCTAAGTTAAGGCAATGTATGGTTAAGGGACAGCTTTTATATGGCGGTGGCAATGGACCCGGACCCGGACTAGACCTGGGACCCATCGGGTCTGGTCCAAAACCTAGACCTGAGCATTATTTGGGTCCGGGTCTGAATCTGGTTGGACCCTATCTGTACCCGTAAACTGTTGGAGATAAAATACTTCAAGTCCTATTCGTTTGGGTGTATTACAGTTCGTGTACAATAAAAACTTATAATCATCTTTACCTTTTAAAGAACAAATAAGACGGCTTGAAATTTAATGACCGGTGATTTTGACCTTGTTGCTAATAATAAGGGTATATGATGGTAAAAAAAGGACAAAAAAAAGAAGAAGCTCATAGTGAGGGTGGCAATGGACAAGACCAGACCCAAGACTGGATGGGATACACCCGAGACCCAACGGGTACAGGTATGGGTCCAACTTTTGGACCCGACAGGTCAGGTCCAAGCATAAAACCTGGACCCGAGTACATTTGGGTCTGAGTCTGAATCCGGGTCTGGGTCTGGGTCCACCCCTAACGACATATCCTCGGTCTCTTTACAATCATGAAACTTTCGTATCTCTTTGGGGTTCAAGCCTTTGGTTGTGGCTAAAAATCTTCTCTCTCCCCATTGGCATATGCTGTATTGTCATTCACGTTTGTGCTTTCTTACCACATTTAACATTTATCTCTTATACGTGTCTTTCACTGTTTCAACGTCCAATAGTTTTTTACTGTAATTAACCAAGTCACTCTATGTAAATACCCCTTTTGTTATTGAAATGTGTTACTTCCTCACTCGTCTTCCATTTGACTACAATTACTAAAACTGGCAACTATTTGTTGCTATCAACTGAAAACATAATATTTCTTTTATTTTCTCAAGGAAAATTGTTTCATGCAGGCTGGACCACTTTTCTACATATATGATCCAGAAAATGTAAGGCATCCATTTTAAACATGGATATAAGTAGGTTTTCTATCTAAAAATAATGGAAACTAACGGTCCAAATGTTTTCTTATTAAAATTATTATTTTTAGTTTTTAAAATTTATTTATTTTTT